GTGTGTGTGTAGAGAGAGGAATGTGTGAAAGAGACTACAAGAGCCACATGAGTGAGCTGCAGGAGCTCAGACTGAGAATGTATGTGTGTGTTTGTGTGATTTACTTTTGATAATTTACCCCAAAATTAAAATTCTGTCATCATTTCCTCACTTCCATGTCGTTCCACACCTGTTTGCATTTCTTACTACTAGACAAAAGAAGCTATTTTGAAAAATATTGTTTTGGACCCCACTGACTGTCATTGTATGGACAAAAACAGTTGGAATGTTCTTCAAAATATCTTCTGCTTTGATGTATGATGATACAACAAAAATACAGTGTGCTATTACTTTTCCAAGCAATCAGTCTTTTGATTTGACTTAAGCAACCATCTAAAACATCCTAGCAAACATCCACAACAACAGCAACAAGATAACAACCAAAATATAAAAACAAATCAATATTCACTAATATTCAAAATTTTGGGGTTGGTAAGATTTTTAAATGTTTAAAAAAAAAAAGTCTCCTTAATGCTTACCAAGGCTGCATTTATTCCATCAAAAATAATACTGTAATATTGTTAAATATTATTACAAGTTAAAATAATATTTTCAATTTTAATATATTGTAAAATATAATTTATTCCTGCGATGGCAAAGCAGTTTTTTTAACAGAAATAATTCTAATATGCTGACATAGTGCTCAAGAAACATTTATTATTATTATTATCAATATTGAAAATAGTTGTGCTGCTTCATATTTTTGTGGGAACTGTTATCAGTATTTTTTGATGAATATAAAGTTTAAAAGAACAGCATTTACAGTATAATTATTTTTTTTTTAATAGAAATCTTTATTACATTAATCTTTATCACTTTTAACCAATTTAATGCATCCTGGCTAAATAAAAGTATGCATTTCTCTAACAAAATTGTTTACTATATATATGGTACATATCAGAACCTTTTGAACATTCTTTCTGAGATATTATCTTAATGCTGTTTTGTATACTATAATTTGTTTTTTTTTCTCTACATCCGCCTCTTACAGTATTAATCAACACTTGATTAATACTTTAATCAAGTATTGTTATGTTCTTTAAAAAGGGTTATATATAAAATGCTACTCAAAAAAATGTTGCTTTATAATAATGGGTTTGTAGGTCTGAAAAGACTGACCGGTTACTGTCTTTCCCTGATCAAGCTGCCTCATGCTTTCATTTAATGCAGTTTTGATATTAAAATTCATTTTTAGGTTGGTTTGCGGTTGATGGTCAGTTCGCCTGTCAATATCGACATCTGTAATTTTATGTGTGTTTTCAATGCCTCTTTCATAAAAGGAGTCACATTGTATAGTCACAGTGTGTGTGTGTGTGTGTGTGTGTGAGTTTGTGTGTCCAGTGTCCCCTACAGCTGCAGCTTCAGCGGATTACCCATCATCCACACGGCAACATTACACAAGTCGTTCTTTGAACAAAAGTCATGGCTGCTATTAATGAGATGGTAATCCCGGGCACCGCTACCTCCCAGATCTGCTTCCACTGACAGGGGAAGAATGTCCAAACGGCCTGCTCACAACACCCAGCACAACACTGAGGCCATTGTCAGCTGTGCTGGTCTGAGCCCTGGACCCAGCTCAAGAAGTTATCCCCTTCCATCCCGATCCTGTCCCCACACCCTCGTCTCAACCCCTTCACACCCCATGAATAAAAATTAAAGCTCTAAATGGGTGGAGGGAGGAAAGGAAAGAGAGAGAGGGACCAAAGAGAGAGAAAGAGGAAAAACAAAATGTTTTGCTGGAGATTAGGGTGGGGTATCTGGGATTTTGACGTATGAGGTTCCCACACGAAGATCTGACATCTACCCATCCTATGACTTCTTGGTTTCTCGGTCTCACCATAGGGACCACACAAACTGCGAGAGGCCCAACACCCTCTAAAACTATAGAGAGAGGCAGACAAATCGAGCTAAATCAAGGCTGAGGAAACTCTCTTAACACTACACATCTTCTAATTACCAAAAGTTTACAACAATACAAAAAGACTGATACAGTTTAATCTTTCGTGGTGGAGGTCATCAAAAAGTAAATAACCGATGATATATATTCATCAGATCTTTATACTTTTCAAACAGTAAGAACAAACATTAAGTCAAGCATGCAAATGTACAGAAGTGAATACAGTGATGTGTGAAATTTGTGAAATTCATCTTAATAGATGGGGCTATACCTCAAGATGCTTACTAGCCTCTCAAATAGTTTGAATTTCTTAAAAGCAACATATTTGTTTGAACTCTCAAAGAGGAATGAGAAAATATATTATATTACAGTAAAATAGAGTAAAAACAGTAATATTGTGAAATATTATTACAATTTAAAAACAGTTTTCTATTTGAATATATTTTAAAATGTAATTTATTCCTGTGATGAATTTTCAGCATCATTACTCTAGTATTCATTGTCACATGATACTTCAGAAATCATTCTAATATGCTGATTTGCTGCTCAAGAAATATTTATTATTATTATTATTATCAGTGTTGAAAACAGTTGTGCTGCTTAATATTTTCATTTAATTAAATTTGTATTTATTTACTTATTTTATTATTTATTTATTTTTTTTGTGAAAACTGCAATATATTTTTTTCAGGATTTTTGGATCAATAGAAAGTTCAAAAGAATAGCATTTATTTTTAAAAGACTGTAACGTTACAATGTCTTTACTGTCATTTTTATATCAGTTGAATGCTGAAAAAAAAAATCATTCTGACACCAAACTTTTGAAACATTGATATATGATGTGATATGATATGATATGATATGATATGATATATGATATGACATGATATGATATATGATATATGATATATGATATGATATTTGCAGATAAGAGGTTGAGAAAGTCCAGCAGTAGTACATTTCCATTCCCTTTGTTTGTTATAGCAACACATTTAGATTTTTTTTTTCTGGTCCAAGCTTTAACAAAGACACAACTAAAATGATTCCAGAATTTCTGCTCATTTTAAACACCACTTCATCACCTGGCTCCTGCTATTCTGGCTGATAGAAACTGATAGAAACTAACCCGAGCTGGGTGGCTTTGTACAGCAAAATCTGATATATCCTGACAGATAGATCTTATAACAAATATTATATTATTTCCATGTATACAAATGCATTCATTTTTATTGTTGCTATTAAACATCCAATATAAGGTACAATAATGTGATTAAACTCAGAAGAAAGCTAGAGCGGGATGTGAGCGGTGTTAATCTGGTGAGGTCTGAATGTTGACAGCTAAAGCTCTGTTTGACTAACATGTCAAAGTTTCACCCAAACAGAGGAAATGCCACACAGGATCTACTGACACTGGGATCAGGCCGCTTTAGCATGAATGATTTAGCATTTCTCATGGGACAGAGAGAGAACGAGGGTTTGTAGCTGTCACTGGCGGGGCATGGTCGGTCTTTCTCACTGTTCTCTGCGAGTACAGAAGTTCTAAAGTTTTCTTTCTCTCTATTCAGGAGGTCCCTTGGTGCATGGGCTTTTTCCCCACTGTTAGTATTACAAAATCCCCATTCAGAATAACCCTTGTCACCTGTCAACTAAGCCAGGCTGGTTTTCTAGGTCTTTATCCCCTACACACACTGAGAGAAAATAAAATGAGCAGCTAAGCTTATACCCTGCCCCCATTTGATGTGTGCACGCACCCTAGAAATACACACACACTAAAACCGCATGTCTCAGAGCTGCTACTCTAGCAGATTAAAATTCATTACCCTGTTCCATTTAAGAAACGTTTACATTGCGTTGGTTACTGTTGGTCATTCATTAGGTGGTTAGGGGAGTTCACATGGGTCCTCCAGGGTGGTCAGATCCTAATCCTCATATACAACCATTTTTAAGCATCTTAGCACAAACACACAAATGTGAGGGGCTCATTGCAACAAATACGTACCATATATGGTTATTCTCATATTTGTCTATCTATATGTTCCCCAACAAATGCATATGTTGCATTTATTTCATCACTGGTTTACCACTGTTTTCAGCAGCATAAATTTGCGTTCAAAACAAGTTTAGATATAACAATATCTTTCAAGTTCTGTTGATTCGGCAATTGTTCGGTAATTGACGTTCAAAATTCTTTATGCCAGGACAACCATGGCTTTGAGTTTAAAAATTACTTGTTAAATTCTAGGATGGTTATTCTTGCAAATCAGCTTCAATCATATCAGTTATATATATCATAATATGTGTACAAGTGTTTGCATAAACCTAAACATTATTTTTAGGCTAACGTAGGCTATTTTTTTCTGTGGCATCCTACCAGACAAACACAATGACAAAAATACAAAAGCAAAGAAAAGAGCCACCCTGAAGCATAATGTCACTATAGACCTAATCTCTTCCCTCTTCCTGAATACAAATCACACAAACTGTTGTAGCCATATTTACCAAACACACACTAATAAAAGAATACTTTACGTTGGACACAATACAATTCCAATGCTTTTCATTTAAATGATGGCTTGTATTGTCTGCTGATCAGAAAATATTTTTAATTTTTAGTAAACTTAGTAAAAACTGGTTAATAAAACAGTACATATAAATGATTTGCAAAGGAAAAGTTGTTACTTCATGCTGGTGTTGTCTCTTATTTTTATATTTTCATATAATCATATTTTCTCTTAGATTTTCAGTATTTGGCTAGACAGTAAAAATGTTTTTAAAAAATCACTGTGATTTAACTATTTAAAAGTAAAACATATAGAAATGTAAACATGGCATGTCTGTATTCTTCATGAACTGTTATATGCAGAATTACATCAAAATGAAAAAATATGTACAGTATATACAATTTCTATTCAGTGCCTTTTAGCTGTAGACTACTTTCTCAAATGGATGGTCATGAATTGAAACATCTAAATAAATAAATGAAACTATTGTTTATGCTATTCCAAATTCCATACTATTTTTCCATCAGTTATTGAGCTCTATGGAGTCAAATGTTTTTATAAATCTCTGAAACAGATTGCAAAAGCCCATAAAAATGTAAAGAAGACTTTTTTTAAGCTTGAATGTTAACAGTGATGGAGACCTTGCCTTCTTACTAATTCCTCTAAGTCAATTACATTTGTAATATTTGTGGTACTACTATGTTCATATATTTAATTCTTGAGTATGATAGCTACATTAAATTAAGAATTAAATTCAAAGCCAAATCCAAAGCTAGTGTGCAGTGAACAGTGATACAACAAATGCTGACCTGACCGGTCAAAAGGGCCTGTACCTGGTGTCAAAAGCTGCCATGAAGATCGGGTACTGCACATTTCCGTGGCGGTCAAGAGGGAGCCTGTCCAGCAGCTGCTCAAACTGAGGGTCGGAAATCTCCAGGCCAAACCTGTGGAAAAGGTCAGGGGAAGGTCAGCACCGGATCACTGATGCCACCGCAGCCCGAGAGTCCACTCATAGGGCTGGCCAGTCCAGCAGGCTTTAAGCATACGCCACTCATTGACCCTCTCGCACACTGCAGAGTCAAGAGGTCATAAGGTCAACTGCCCTCTTCACCCGGCCATCGTACAGAGCTGGACACACACTAGCCAGTCAATCAAGGGATTAGACTTTACATACACGTATGCACACCCTCAAATATGCACTCACACAAACTACAACCATTACTCGCTCCAGAAAACATAGATAAAGACAAATGAACTTATCAAAGATTATGAATAAAAATGTGAGATTGTCCTTCAGATCTGACAGACACGGTCCGCACTGACTACAATACTACATACTCAAATAAAGAGGATTATGGTGAGGTAAATGTGTTTTAAAGGACAGAGAGAAAAGACAGGGGAGTTTCAGTCTTTAGTCATTTGAGTAAATTAGGTTCTCACTCCATTTAGGACAACATAAGGCAGGATTTTTCTGAGGGGGCACAAGTCACAGTCCTGGATTACTGTGGATTACTTTTTAACAATTTAGTAATTCAGCATATTCAGATGTCTGTTTAGTACAGTGGTTCTCACAGGGGGCCATAACCCACTAGGGGGCCTTTTCAAACTTCCAATGGGGCCACAAGATGGCTTAAAATGATTTAAAATACATACATACATAAATAAACAAACACCATACATTTATAGTATACATTTTCTAATTATGCCAAGCTGTAAAATATTTTCTCAGGCAGACATTGCTGGGAAATTTCTATTTGTGAGAGAGTGAGTAAATATATAAATACATAAAATCATGAAAAACTAGTCAAATTAATAAATGTAATCATGAACAACTAGTCATTTAAATTCACTTGCAATAAAAATCAATAAATGCTGAAGAACATTGTTCATGAAATTATGTAATTATGAAATTTAACTATTCATAATTATTTTTATTTAATCAATTTAGTATTAATTATTTAATATAATCAACATATTTAATTATATTAATATTTAAAATGTTTAATATTTAATTGTTTAATATTAAATATTAATATGTAATAATGTTGATCCTAGTTTCTGTACATAAAAACATTTGAAAATGAACAGCTGTGTTGTTACAACAGAAGTACCAGAAATATTTTGGAGGAAGATTCAAATATTGTGTCGGGAATTGGAGTCAAATAGGTTGAGAACCACTGGTCTAGTCGTATAGATTTATCAAGCAGTCCTAACATAACATAACATTTAAATCATGTTTTATCTGAACTTAATCAACATTGTGCAGCCAACATTTTCATTGTGTGAAAAAGACCAGCTCTGATATTTTGATAGTGACTCTTTGGTAACACTTTAGGGAAAACTATTCACTATTAACTAATTGCTTATCAGCAAGCATATTACTAGCATATTGGCTGTTTATTAGTACTTATAAAGCACATATTAATGCCTTATTTTGTATGACCATATTTTAGATCCCTTAACCCAACCCCATGCCTACACATAATTACTACAACAACTGCCTTACTATCTAATACTAATAAGCAGTAAGGAGTTTATTGAGGGAAAACTTAGTTAATAGTGAATATGTGTTTGCTAACCTAAAGTGTAATTGATTCTTTTTGTAATTTTGATGTGTTTTGTGTTACCAAATGAGAGTGCTGATGATGACGATTTTTAAAGCAAACATGCTGAAGGTGAGACTCGATCAGACAATGTGAATGTGTGATTTGACAAAACAATTTAGAAAAACAACTTTTTCTCACAATAATCATGCAGCTTAATTAGAGATAGAAAGAGTGTACCTGCTCTCCATAGCAGCTCTGAATTCTTCTTTACTAATAGTCCCTTTATTAAGCTTGTCAATGTTCCTATAAAAATACACACACAGAGAAATACACACATATATTGGTAAAAGTATTATAGAGCATTTTCTGAGCGCATAAGCTTTAGGTAAGACAATTGGATTTTCAAACTCATGAGAGATGCTTCGAGCTAGAGGATTTGTAGTTGAAGTGGTTTGAAAGGAAACTCATTTGAGCAGAAGGGTTTCCGTGATGAGGTTCTTAGTAACAATGCAAAGTTATAATTAAAGAGACCAAAAAACGTGTCAACCTTTGACCCAAAATTTAGTAAAACATCTTGTGTGTTAAAAGAGAGAGAAAAGATACCTGTTCTCAATTTAGAGGATGTTAATGGGGTCTTGTTCACAAGGAAAAAAAGAGAAGAAAGAGTGGAAGAAGAAAGAGAGAGGGAGAGAGAGAATGGGATTGTACTCACTGAAAGGTCTGGAGGAGAGAGAGGTACTCTGACTGAAACAGGCGAGTTAATTTGACCTCTATGGCACTTAGAGAGGAAGCACCACTGATGTTCTCATTAGAATGAAACCTGCAGGGCGAAAAAATGAAAACATGTTCTTATTGTTTTTTTTTTCTCAAGAAAACGTATAAGGTTGAAACATGCACTACAAATGATTCTGAGTCAGAGGTGATTAAGAAAATACTTACAAAAATATAAAGTTAGATTGGAGAAAAGTTCTATCATCTTTTGTCTACGGATTGCATTTGTTCTAATATTTTGTTATCTAATGCAATAAAATTCATAGATTGTAAAGTGTGGCTTATCCCAATACTTTTTGGGGCCACTGTATTTTGTCACCATGGTGAAAGGTTCTATACTTTGTAATTGTTTGCCTGCCTCATTTTATTCATTCGCCAATCCTTTAAACTGTGGACCACCCTAATCAAACCAAACACAGTCAGGCTTGGCCTAGTGTTCAGCAGCTGTTTACTGATTCCTGTGTGCTGGGTGACCCAGGGCAGGGAAGAACTATGGGCCGTAAGCTTGTTAGAAATGGAAAGAGTTTGACTACAAGGCTTAAAGATCACGTTCTGTGGATGTGTCTGTGTAATTTGGGTTCTGTGTAAGCACAGAAAAGACTCAGAGTTTCTGTTTCCACATTGCACTGTTACTGATGACAGAACAGAATAATATTAAATGTTGGGGTAGTGAGATAAAAGTTTTGTTTGGTTGTTGACGTGAATTTCTGATAAATATTCTGATATTAACCAAAATAAATTTCGGTTATAATTCCATTATGTATGTGTGATGTACATTCAGTGATATGTCATATCCCAATTAATTCAAAATCCAAATAAGACAACTGGCATATGCCTGTATTAATACACTTAAATATGAAATATTCATTTATATCGATGCACCTATGTGATTTAATCAATCTAGTTTAAAACATGCACATAATTTATTGGAAATGTTGGAGATGTGCTCTCTTTCCATTGATTATGCATACTTTTTGAAATTCTGGATAATAACTCAATATACTCTAAAAATACAAAATGAATTCTCAATTATTTATGTTCTTAAAAACAAAGCACAAGGGTATGATGAATTATGAAAATATACAAATATAGGCCATGAGACTGCTATAAATGTTTTTAAAACCTTAGTAAGAAAAAGAGTTCCCTCTTTGCTGCAAAAAAAATTTTAAATGACAAATTGCAGAATGGCAGGTGTTGGGAACCTGGAGGGATCAAAGCTCCATATGAATAAGTATTATCAGGATATTGCTATGATGTGAATCTGACCGGTGTTTTGGATTGGAGATTATCTTGTGAGTGATGCCATCTGAACTTCTGTCCTGGAAGGTGCGCAGGAAGTTCAAGTACTGTACACAACCCTTTTTCAGCTTCAGACCACACTGAGACAGAAACAGAGCCAGGTGCTCTCTCTTCAGATGCAGGTCAAACTTCCTCAACACCTGCAGAAAGTCTGCAGCCCTCACCTACAAAACAAAACACACAATATTTACATGAATCAATATGACTGACATTTCTGTACCAGTCTGTTTGTGAAGTCATTTGCCGTTTGCTACCTTTCCACTGTTCTCAGGATCCAGTTTATCAAACTCTGCTTTCATCCTCTGAGCTCCTTCCCTGAATCTCTCCTTCAGCCAAGTCTCTATGGCGATATATGTGTGGCGCTCCTCTTCTGCTTTAGAGAGTGTCCTACCAGGAGCTGCAGGGAAGAGGACGGCATGACAGGATATTATGTATTAGATGACCATTTCAACTCTGTAATGACAGGTCTCTGATTAATCAAATTTTCTGATGAGTTCATATTAAACAACCAAGCAAAAGCTAAATCCATGAAGAAGGACTCTGAAGAAACAGGACCACAGCACCCTCTATAGTTCGCCTGTCCAAAGCTCCCTCTGCTTCTGAGACAATCAATACTATTTGTGACCCTGGACCACAAAACCAGTCTTAAGTCGCTTGGGTATATTTGTAGCAATAGCCAAAATTACATTGTATTGGTCAAAATTATTGATTTTTCTTTTATGCCAAAAATAATTCGGCATTAAGTAAAGATCATGTTCCATAAAGATATTTTGTAAATTTCCTACCGTAAATATATCAAAACTTAATTTTTGATTAGTGACATGCATTGCTAAGAACTTCATTTGGACAACTTTAAAGGCGATTTTCTAAAAATTTTGATTTTTTTTTTGCACCCTCAGATTCCAGATTTTCAAATAGTTGTATCTCGGCCAAATATTGTCCTATCCTAACAAACATCAATGGAAAGATTATTTATTCAGCTTTCAGATGGTGTATAAATCTCAATTAAAAAAAATTGACCCTTATGACTGGTTTTGTGGTCCAGGGTCATATTTATCTATACTTATTTCAATTAATAATTTTCGTAAAAAAATGTGATTGGACACAAACTGTTTTAGTGCAGAGTTTATTGTTGTAAATTGACTCCTCTTGATAAATTTGATTATTGATTATTTTGTAAATTGACAGCTGAGGAGACGATAAATCCAATAAATAAATAAATAAAACTATTATGCTCGTGATACTGGTATTCTACAAATGTTATTATTATTTGCTAACATGTAACTTTACCTTTTGTGTCCTCAGGTTTTGGGGTAATGCAAGTGTGATAGTTTTTCTCATTGTTTGGTTCAATCCTTCTGCTCAATCCCAATTTCTTTAGAAAAATTGTCTGTTTAACTGCTCCAAGTCCATCCACATCTAACCTGTTTCAAACAGATAGGCATTTTAATAGTTTTTTTTTTAAATAGACAATTATAATCTAAAAACGAATATAGTGATTTGATGGTATAAATCATATATAAATGCATAAATAAATAAAATTCAAACCTTTTCCATAATTTTTCAAAATCATTATCTTTCAGGTGAAGTTTGAGTTTGTTGAGAATATTTCTGAACTCTGGGGCAGAAATCCAACTTTCAGTAAGACTGTCTGACTTGCGCAAAACCTCTATACTCTCCAGAAACCTACAGTAGAAGAAATGGCAAACAGCTCATCAGAAGCTCATTTTTTCATGTTTATACAGTACCGTTCAAAAGTTTGGGGTCGGTTTGATTTTTTTTTAAACCATTTTTGAAAGCCCCTTAAGGCTACATTTGTTTGATCAAAAATACAGTAATACAGTAATACTGATAAATATATTTATATATTTTATATATCAATATTGGTTTAATATATTTTAAAATGCAATTTATTCTGTGATTCAGAAATCACTCTTATATGCTGATTTGGTGCACATGAAACATTTCTTATTATCAGTGTTGTGCTGCTTAATATTTTGTGGAAAAAATTTTTTTTCATGCTTATTTGAGGAATAGAAAGTTCAAAAGGGCACCATTTATTTGAAATGTAAACCTTTTGTAAGATTACAAATGTCTTTACTGTCACTTTTCATCATTTTAATGCACCCTTGCAGAATTAATTTCTAAATAAAAAAATAAATAAAAATCCTCCTGAGCCCAAATTTTAGAATGGTAGTCTTGTGACAGTGGTATCATTAAATATTCAAAATATTGACACGCTGAAAATCAATTTAATTTATGTAATATGGCTTAATTCAAAATATTAAACATTTAAAATCATGATAGCAGTAAGCACATAGTTTATTATACTTTTCTCATTTGGTTTCTTTTTCTACGCTTTGTAAGTTACCAAAATAAAGATATTTTTCATTAATTTTTGTCTGAGTGTGTGGGGGTGTGAGAGAGACCCTCTAGGAACATTGCAGAGATTGTTTAAAATTCCTGTTTTTGTTTCTCCTCTTTTTGTCAGTCTCTCACACGCATAGACACACTGTCAATCATACATATGATTCTCTTTATTACGTCCCTCTATCTCTTTCACTTATCCTTTCTTATTCTCTTCAACCCTTATGGACCCATAAATCTGCCTTTTTGTGCCATATTTCTCTTCTTTTCCTGTTGCTCTTTCATCTTTATCCCTCTCTTGCTGTCTTTTTATTCAGTCTTTTTTTCTTTCTCTCATCCTATCTTTCCCATCTCTCACTTGGACTCTCATAGTCATTGTGTCTGTAAGAAAGAGAGGAAAAAAATGTGTGAGATTAGTCACAGAGATTTCATTTTTTAGCTCGGCTGGAGTGTGTCTTGGTCTGACCAGGTCTTACGCAATCAGTATGACACACACACACACCAACCGAACTTTCACACTATCGCACACTCCCTCTACAACCTCATTGTATTATACTGATGCTTCAAACAGTTAGGTACAATAGTTGCAGTAGTACAGAGATGGAGAAATGGAGGGGGCAGCAGAGCGGTAAGCTGCTTTGCTGATCATCCTTTTGCTTTCTGTCCACCCTGAGCATCTGAGCTGCTGTCTCACTCCCTGCTGCTGAACTTTGAGCGTGAGCAATTCACATTCTGTTTCTGAACTGTTATCTCTTTGTAGAGAACTGTTTGTGTGATAATTGTGTTTTTTTTTTAACAATTTAGACTCAATAATCATCATATGACCCTAAAATGTATTTCTGTCATGACAACTCTCGGAGGGATTGGCATGGTAATGTACATGACAATGTTAATGTATTTGGTCTTGGCGGAATAGATCTGCTACGCTGTTGCTGGGGGGGGTCTTAAAGGGAATTCAGTTAGAGGGAATTCAAACGTTGTCTTGGACAAAGTTCCGCTAATGAAAATAGTTCTTGAATGAATCAGTTTTTGAACAAATCGTTTGAGTCAATGATTCAAAGAGTCACTCACTTGATGCCACTTACGGTAAATTTATGTAATTTACAGAATGACAGCCTTGACAAGAGTGATACCAGCGATTAAATGAAATGGACTGTCAAATTTGAGGACGGGAACAAAGATCTCACCTGCTGCATGCAGGTCCTCTCAGCAGGGCCATTGTCTGAGGAATCGTAAGAAGACCCACGTGGTTACTTTTATTGGAGTCTGGGTCTTTCAGGGCACCATAAAACTCCTCAAAACTGATAAGCACTCGGTCAGAGAGGTGCAGACTGCACAGAAAGAGCAAGACAGGATATTTTTTATAAGGATCTTGAAACACTAATAATTAGACAGTTTTTTTAAATGACAACAACATAATTTTATGTTTTGAGAATTGTTAGAGCATTGTCATTATTTACCGAAATAGAAGTTTTTTCAGCTGTTTAGCTGTGACAGGCCTCCTCAGGAAATTTGTAAGGATCTCAAGTAATGCAGATCTAGGAAAACAATAAACTTAAGAAAATGGAAGCATTTCCAATATTTACATCTGTGTGTGCCTGTTTTCACCTGTTGACCAGAGGTTTGCCATCAGGGTGGTTGTTTTTGAACAGGATTTTGAGTGCCAGAGCTCCTGTATTTTGAATGCGCTCTTTTAGCTCATCTTCCACCTTTAAAAGAAAGAGTGAAATCTGTATATTGTTTTAGGTGGTTTCTGTATTCTTTTTTAATAATTAATTTACAAAAACACAAAATTATGAAGTCAAAACTCAATATTCTACATCACTGTTTTTTCCAGAAACACACATTTTCACTTGTAACTCTAACACACTGCTGCACAAACCAAAATAGGCATATTTTTTTTGGCTGCAAGACATTATTTCATAAGTAATTGAGTTTAAAGCAAAATGCACAAACATGTGTTTTACTTTGTTCTGATGTAGTTTGATATTTACTTTTCCTTTCTTGAAATTACACACATTACTGCAAATGTAATTATGTGAATTAATAAACTTATTTTAAACGAATGTTTCATTTTTTTTTTTTTTTTTTTTAAATGGTGAATTTTTTTTTTTTTTTTAAGAAATATAAATAATGCTTTTGTTACTTCTTGCTGCTATGTTGTAGACCAAATTTTACTTTTCCTTTCTGGAGATCATTCACATTTCTGCAAATTTGACGTAAATAAATGAACTGAGCAATCATAAACTGATCGCAGAAGATCTCTTCTCAGTGTAAAATCTGAGAGAACATGTCTTCATATAACATTAATGTGAACCTATGGGTAGCATGTAAATTCGTTTGCAGTAACTGAAAGATTTTAAAGTACTGAATGTATTAAATATAATGAGTGACAGCATTTCAAGCTTCTTTTGTGAGCGGGATGGGATGGAGGGGTTGTGTGTTTATCCATACACCCACTCTGACTCTTATGACGGGTGTGTGTGTGTGTGTGTACCCCCACTGTGTGACTAAGGCAGCTCTCGTGACCAGGCGGAGTCGAGGGGGCCTGTCTGCTGGGTTCAGTCGGTCAGACAGACAGGACCCCAGGGATAAGACTGGCAGGGTTAATCACACACAACACCCCCTCTACAAGACAGACACCTGCAGATTTGCAGCACTTTCTCTCTCACACACCCATTTGCACATATACTCCCTCCTTCTCCTTCTCCTTCTCTTTATCGCTCTTTGCTAATATCTCTCCTGGGTAAACTCTGTTACACATTGGTGTTAACCACTGAGCTGCAGCTGAGATTTTATCAGTTCTTGTGTTTTATTCTTGAGCAGTCACTCTCGTTCTCAATGGGATAATGCCATGCTTTGATGTCAAAAGGAGGAACACAGGCCAGCAACTTTGTCATTGAGAGGAGAGCACATGGGGATACTTGAAAACATGCCTGTATTAATGCACTGCACTCAGAATTATACTCTGTGGGAATCACATTGTGCACCTATGCAAACACAATGTGTGCACAATAATAAAAAAAGTATTATTTTTATTGCATTAAATAAAATATTAAACCAGGTGGCGTCTGGAACAAATTATGCTGGACTTTTTCTCAGCACTAATATCGCTTATTATTAATTATTAAGCTCAAATATGAATAATGGTCCTTATTATTATTATCAGAGTTGAAAACAGTTTTTGCTGCTTAATATTTTTGTGGAAACCATGATAAAGAAGAGCATTCAGTCAACCGAAATAACAGCATTTATTTGAAATTATTTTTATAGAATTATTATAGAATTATAATTATTACAGAATTATTTTCTAAAATAAAGTTAATTGTTGATTGAAATTATTCTTGAACAGCAAACCAGAAATAGAATGATTTCTGAAGGATCATGTGACACTGAAGACTGGAGTAATGATGCTGAAAATTCAGCTTTGCATACATTACATTCTAAAATATATTAAAATAGAAAATGGTCCTTTTAAATTAATACAAATTTCACAATGTTGTTTTTACAGCATCTTTGATCAAATAAATGCAATCTTAATTATTGTTAATAAGCAGTACATCTATTTTCTATTTTATAACATAAAATCTAACTAATTATTCTGATATTTTATTATCCAATCTAATGATATTCATCTACTAAGTGTTCAAATACTGATTCAGAAATACTTTTTTTTTTTTGGGCTACTGTATGTAATAGTAAGCTGCAGTGTGTTTTTAGTGCAGTAATCATATCATTCGTGAGGTAATGTGTGTACTACCTGATCAGTTTGATCCGTCATCCATGGCCCAGTGCTGGAGTATGTTGTATGAGAGACTCTACTTATGGAGCGATTCTCTGATGCTGCCTTGTGACCTATATCAAACACACAAACCAGAAAAATTACAGTATTTAATAGGCTACATCCATTAGGTTATTTACTTGAATGAGGGACCAAGGTAAACAGCAAAAAATCCAAACTTGGTCATTTTCATGAAAATATTACAATGCAAAAATTATGTAAATCATAAACCTATACATGTTCCTGCAGTATGCTGCTCCTTTAAATGCATTATAAGTATTTATACAATAAGTATATGAGACTGAGCAAGAAGACACACTCTGGTTTTACTGACCACTAGACAATTCATTCCCTTGATGAGACAGCGCCCTCGGGTGGACTAACACGTGAAAGACTGAATAATCATAGAACTTACTAATAATGTTGGTTTAAAGGTCATGAAACCCTAAAACACATTTTTTTGAGATGTTAGCAGATATGTACAGGTTGCACATCAATGAAAACAACAAATCTAAAAAAAAATTAAAAAAAATCGAATTAATTTCATTACTTTTCGCTCCGTTATAGGCTCGTTTGTACTGAGAAAAATAGATGTAGAAGCAATTTTCATCCAAAAAAATGCTAGTAAATTTCACAAATAATGAATAATGACAAAAAACCGGCAAGCAACACATTGAAAAAACGTGAAATATTGAAGTAGAAAGACTGAAATAGTATTTTCTTGTAAAACAGCTAGGCTCCAATAATCATTTTATTTCCGTATATATATA